AACGATGGGTATAGTTGGGATATTTAGTTTTTTTGTGCCTTCTGTTACTTTTATCTCAGATGTGCCACACTGAAGAATTTAATATTACTCAATATTATAGCACTCTATAAGTTGAAATAAACTATATTAATTCAGAACTAAACTAAATTTAATCAGTGGCGTCAAAATAAATTGTGAGCTTTCAACTGCTTAAAAAACTGACAGCATAGATAATACTCTTACAGATTTTTATGTACAATCCGCGATTGTTTGCTTTTTTTGGCAGAAACTTTTCCAATCACTCGTAATTCTGATGTCGCTAGTAGATTTTGATTTTTACAAGTAGGTAGGTATTTACTGTAAGGTATACAGTTTCAAATAGTATTTTCAAGCATTCAATTCTAAGTAATTATGTGTGTGTATGAACCCTGTATTAAATAATTATTTCGACAGAAACAATCACTATCAGGCGGAAACTGGGTCAGAATATTTCGTTAATTTTTATCTTGAAATTTGCAATAAAAGCAAAATAATATCCCACAACACGATTTGTAGACGTCAAACGTTGGCGGTGTTCAGTTACAAGGATAAGTTTGAGTGTAGCAGATATCAAAAGCTTGTCAAAGAGGCCAAGGTGTTCCATAAAAATTAATGATGATTTACTCCCATTATCGACATATTAAGTTTCTTTCGTTGCCACTAATTAAAACTTACTTTAATCGCAATCTAAACAAATAGTTTATTATTATACACACTCGAGTTGAATCTACTACGTCATAGTCGTAAGTATGAAAGATAAGTCGAACGATTTTATTTAAACCTCTTAGACCTGCGGTCAGGATAATTTAACCCGAAAATAATAACAATGAGAAAACTATTAATTGCATGAAAAATATATTGCGGCAATCAACATATGTTATAAATTGTAATATATTAAATATTACAGGCGTTTCCGCTGTTGTAAACCTTTATTCTTTGAAAAATAAGGACCAATCTTGAAACCAGATACGTTTTGGCTGTAATACAAAATGAGTACTTACATAATGTTAGAATATTATGAATAACTTTTTTGCCGCAAGAGGCGGTTTTCATTATTCATTTTTAACATTTACGTTATAGTATACACAATTTTCAATAAGAATTGTATGCAAATCAATTCCTCGATATTGGCACTGTTTTAGATTGGTTCCTAAACACTGGCTGGCTCTCTGTACAAACTTGACTTGATAATAAAATTTAGTTTAGAATAGATTCCTCTGCGCAAGAACCTGCCACCGTCGATGACTTCCAACCATCATCTCTCTTTAATTTTAAAACATTTGTATCTGCAAGCATGGTTGTAGACAACCGTTTAAAACTATGACTCGTATACTCCTGTGAATTGGGCAACTCACGATATCTAGCAATTTCGCCTTAGAATATTTAGATAAAAAACTTGCTAGTTTTATATATATTTAAACAGATACACCTATATGACTCGTTAAACATTAAAAGTGTGAAGGAATGTAAAAGCATTGGAATCCATAAAAATCTCTCTCGAAAAAATGTATAAGCCGGCCTGTGTTCTTGACATTGCCCAGTTTTAGGGAACTTAGCCCACCCGCGGCCAGATGGCAGCGCAGCAGACGCCGTCAGATCTACAAACGCATGCCACCAAAAGAGACAAATTGTTACTTATACTGATACAAATTGGTAATAAAAGTAATAAATAATAATGATCAATATATAATTTATAAGGTATAAATATATAAACGTCGAAATTCGTGATTCATGGAAGAAATTTGTTTATTCATCCAATGACGCTCATAAGACCAATGATAAGAGACCAAATTTAAAAGTTTTTAATAAAAATTAGGTTTTACACCTCAACTATCCTCTCGTAAAAGTATACCTACACTATAGCTATTCATCCAGGAACTAACAATGTAACAACTGAATTTACCACCGAGTTGTTTTTAATGCGGTAAATCAAATAAACTCGGTCGATCTATTTCCATTTCTTATACATCTCTTATCTGGAAATAAGAGCTTTAATGGATTATTTCCAGCGGAGTGGCCGAAAGATATTTGACACGATGACAGGCAGCGTCGGAAAAAAAGGCTACACATGTGTGAAGTACAGAGCGTGTGAAAGAGTTAGCTTACGTGACGTCGACGCAATGCCTCCCGTTTTTGTTTTATCCAACGCCACTGGGCGGGTTTTTATTATGATTAAGCCGTGCGGCGCTATGGGGACGTGGAGAGTGATTTAAATGAATTTAGCAACAACCGTGTTAGTCAGCATCACCGTCGCAATACCACATACAATAAATAGATCACTTTTTTATGCGCCACTCGTAACACTCGACGTTTGTTTATGTGTTAATAATTGAAGCACGGCTTTTGGCATGGCTGTTTAGGTTGAAATGCGCATTTGGTATTTTAAGCGCTTTACCTTTCCGAGTGAGACGCTCAAGAGTCTGGATAGACTTGGTTCAATCTCTGATATCAGTACATAAATGGTAATCTATTACTTACTATTTACGTAGGTGGTAGGTGGTCTTTCATAAGTATCGCCACCTATTTTCTGTGATATTTTTCAAACTGAGAAAATGTGTAACGATAAGATCCTTTACATTTATACTTTGGATACATCGCTTTCTTACGTTACACTGATACATATTTATTGATGAGTCTATCTCTAATAGTAAGAGACATAGCAAATATACACTATACTCCATTGCCAAAACAGTAGAATCATAAATAAATCGAACCAGAATTATTTTTCGGTTAAAAAATCTCGCCCGCGACAAGGGCGGCGTTCACGCGCGTGCGCGGGCTCGGCGCTCCTCCCGCTTGCAGGCCGTTCATTAACTTTTGCTGCTGCTAGCGCGTTTATTACATGAACTATCAATGTAAAACTTTTTGGAAATAAAAGTTTAACCCTTTCTTTAATTGTTTCTAAAATCTCGTTATAAAGAAAGTTATCATGGGAACAAAGAGGCGTAGGAGAAAATTACTGTAAAAATAATCTCTATTTGATACAAAAAGAGCGAATTCCCGAGCGACTTTTGATCCTCCTTTTGGTACCTATATCTACAATATTAACTTCTAAAATTAACGTTTAGTAATTAACAATTAATTACAAAATAAATGAAATTAATTAAGAAATAGCTGGAGCAACTATTTCAATGTCAATTGAATCGGCATTTGGCACATATGTTGGGTCATTGGATTGTACGTCTTTTCCAGAAACATGAACAGCATCAATCGTTTTTTGCAATAATAATGCGCAATTTTCGAAAACTGATATTTCCGCGTTCGACTTTTATTTTACAGAGTTAACAAATTAATGAAAAATTATTCTAGGTAGGTACCTTAAATTATAGGTAATTTAATTGCCTATATCATAAAATAACTGATATTCCGATAAGTCGTCTAGATTTTCGTGAGCAGTAAAAAAAGTGAAAAAACACGTAAATTTGTCACTTATTTGCCATTAGCCAACTTAGCCTCACTCCTTTCGAGTTACTTTTTTGATATTATCATTCTACATACCTTTCCCCGTCATAAAATGCAAAATAATTGAACCCTGACATGCTCGAATCAAAGTTTACTTAATACAGATTAAAATGGGAATATAGGCAATAAGTAATCCTTAGTAAAGTTTCCTTTCCCCACTTCACTGCTTTGCCATTACACATCCTCAAGGCTCAAATAAATTCGGTTCACTTGTAATTTTGTGTATTCTCTACATGGAAATTGTGATGTGTGTGCCGTCCATTTCGCATAATGTTCCGATCAGCCTATCCTGCGTTCGCATACTAGGGTTGCATAGTTTTACTTCCGCCTTGGAGTCAGTGCGTGTCATAAGCATACACGTGGAAAATACATGTTATTATTTTCATATTTTAATTACTCCAATAAATATTGTTAAAAATTGAATCATATATTATTATTATTAACAAATCTGATAATCAGAGTAGTCGTAAACGCCGATTTAACATATCAAGAACGTTGTAAAATAAGTTTAGTTATTTGGGTTCTGTGTAAAAATGTCGATGTCTCAAAATGAATAAGTATTTATCATTAAGTCAGACTTGTGTAAATAACGTAGAAACCTTTACTTATCGCACCAATATATAGAAAATGCGCAGACCTTTCCATTAAAAAACATGTTAGGTTTGTACCATTATGATGCTCAATTATTTCCGCAACTTGGGTGGCACCAAATTTAAAATATCTCATTATAACTTTTATTGTTCTACGTTTCTTCGTGTCTCGAAAAATAAAGAAGAAAATAGAGAGGGACACTTTAGAAGACGGTCCTGTACTGTACAAAAAACGAACGCCAATGATTAATACCCTTAAATTTTCAAAACATAAATAAAATATGGAGACGTAGCCTTTTAAAACATTTCAGTAAAACATTTTGTACACTGTAGAAGTTCATTTTTTTAAAATAATTTTTTCACATTAGCAAATAGTTTTTAAAAAGTTCCAATGTAACTGCTCTATTATTTAAATTAAGTTAGCAGTGTTTTCATCAAGTTTGTGTTACGTTCGTTGGTGAGGCGTGCGCTTTCCCAGAGAAAGGCCTAGATATTAAATCACTGGCTCAATTTAATTTAATATACAAGACCACATGGCCGCCCCACTTTTTATTCCTATTAAAATGTCACCTTGTATTTACTTAGATTTAAGCGGCAAAACACTGGAGTTTATATTACATGTCAGCTACGTCCACCTGCTTCAAGGAGGAGGATTTAAAAGATAAGCAAAGCTTAATGTTTTCGTTTTTGTCGGCGAAACAAAGAAGATATGCGTCACATGCATACCGGGAGAGATTATAATGAAAAACCGCTGTAACCGTCTCCTTTTAATAATGTAAATAAACCAACCTAGTCGGTTATATAAATCGCTAAATTCCATACTCCGCAATTTATTATGTTGTAAGGTAAACATTATTTCGTTTATTTCTAGAAGCTGTAATGCCTCGCGACTAATTACACCAATTATGATTTCGTCTTCTTTTTTTACAGTCCTGCAAGATTTGCAACAAAACCTTCGCCAACGTCTACCGGCTCCAGAGGCACATGATTAGCCACGACGAGAGCGCGGTTCTAAGGAAATTCAAGTGCACAGAATGCGACAAAGCGTTCAAATTCAAACATCACTTAAAGGTAGATCTTTGGTTTCTCTCGTATAATCAATGTTAAAAATTATCCAATTCTGTAATTGCATACAGGATGTCTGGTAAAGAATGTGCCATACTCCAAAGGTAGCTTCGTTGGGTGAAAACACACAAATTGAGCCGACTTGGCTCAAATTAGAGTCACACGACTGATTTCTTGAAATGTTATGGACTTTTAGAAAAAATGTTTTAATTCTTTTTTCTACGATAATTTTAATTATTTCAAGGAAATTTGGTATGAATTTTTTTATGGCAGTCGAAGATAGATAGCTTATTTGTTATCTAAAATATCAAATCGATTAAAATTCTTGGAACGGCCTATTTATTGTTTTTTGTCAGTTTTTTTTCATGGTAGAGATTTAAAAAACAGGTGTTTTATGTCACTTTATTTACTGTACGTATCGTTACAAATAAAAATAGATGTCAATTTTCTGATGCAGTTGCCAATTGCGGACAACAGATTATTCTAGTTAAACTTTAAATTTTTGCTAAATTTATAGCTAGGTACATTAAATATTTTCTGGATTTAGACAACTACATTAAAATCTAGTGATTGAGATGTCGGCTTTTGATTATATGATTATATTTTAGAGCATTTAGAGATCTATATCTTAGTAGTTTCTGAATTTCAGGTGAATAAAGTGTACATAATAATTTACAAAAAGATAAAGTTTAATACCTTCAAATATATTTTCAGGAATGATGCAGTTTAGCTACTTTCAAGAGTACCTATGTACAGTAGTTTTATAGTAAATAAATATGTAATATTTTTTAAAGACCACTATGTTTTAGTAAAAAAATAAGCCAATGTTAATGTTCAGCCAGCCCAACAAGATTCTTAAAGAATATGATAAAAAAGTTTTTATGGCTCTAACTTTTTAAGGGGCAATTTTGTAGAAAATATAACTTGATCTAAATTAGTTTATTTTAATTTAGGAAGCTGAAGTGACCCTTGAAGTAAGACCTATTCGTTTGCTTACATCCTGTATAACACAATTTTTAGATATTAATTGTTCAGTTTATATAAGAATGTGAAGAAATTTATTTTCATTTCAGGAACACATTAGAATCCACAGCGGGGAAAAACCGTTCGAATGCGGAAATTGCGGAAAGCGCTTTTCTCATTCAGGATCCTATTCTAGTCACATGACATCAAAGAAATGTTTAGTAATGAATCTCAAGTTAGGTAGAAGTAGGGCACCCTCGAATAGCTCGCTGCTAGATAAGAACGTCCAGCAGAATCTGAGAGGCCCAAAGAGGTCCTCCATGAGTCCGATAAACAACAACATCACAACTAGTCCTAATCATAATAAGTATTTGCCGATCTTACCGAAATATTCAGAAGCGGCGGCGGCAGCGTTATTTCAGTCGTCGCTGGCGGGAAATCCCACAATGTCTCCGTTTTATCTAGCACCCCCTAGTCTTCTAAATGCTGGTCATCCTATTAGTCCGTACACAGTGCCAGCACTGGGACATTTACTAGAGCAGTTGCAGCAACAGAGTGCGCAAAGGATGAGTCCACTAGCACCACAGTTACTAGATAGTATAGAGTGTACCTCTGAGGAATCAAAGCCACACGAACCCTTCCACAATGTAAATAATTTCGAAAGCACTAGTGTTAAGTCAGAAAATAATGAAAATGTACACCATTCAAATTCTTCTGAGTGTGGAGACTTAGTAATGGATGAAGAAGCAGACGCAGAGACTGAAAACCAAAGTAAATCTGAAACCAATGCCATTGAACATAGTACAGCTAATAATGGAGACTTAGAAGCAGTAAAAAGAATCCTAGAAACCGTAAATGCGACAGTTACCAAAGAATTATTGCAGGCTAATATGCGAAAAGTATCTTCAGAATCTTCTAATGACTCCCACAGCATAACGCCAGCACATTCCCCAAAACAAATGCTACATTGTAGTATTTGCAAGAAAACCTTCGAAAACTCCAACTTACTGGAAGAACATGAGTGTGAGGACCTAAGAAGCGAAGGCCTAGCAGCAAAACTAGAAGATGCTCTAACCACAAAATCTGATGATGCTCAAAATGACAGCATTAGTGGAGCTGAAGATCAAGACTACGACAAACATTACAATACAAACGATGAAGTAGACTCTGAGTCATTTACGACAACTGACCATGTTTCAGAGGATGGTAGGAAAGTTAGAGTAAGATCGCTGATATCTGATGAACAGCTGAAAGTGTTAAAAGACAATTATAAATTAAATCCTAGACCGAAACGGGAGGACCTAGAGAAAATTGCAGCTACTATTGGGTTTCCAGTTAGGGTGGTTCAAGTATGGTTTCAGAATACCAGAGCTCGAGACAGACGAGAAGGTCGATTAATACAAGTACCATATAGTCCCGCTTCTTCTTTACCTCGATACCCATCAAGTATCATGCCTTTAAACTCTGGAAACCATAAAGTCTCCTTAAGTATGTCTCCAAATCAGTATATTTCAGAGCAACCACTAGACCTTTCTATTAAAAAAGAACTCAAATCAAACGAATCAACCCCATCTAGTTCTCCACGAAGGCCGTCTTCTGCCAATCTCCACTCGGAAGGCATCGATGAGGTTGTCAATCTCAGCAGAAAGACATCCAGGAGCCCTACTCCTTACATGCATTACCAGAATCACTACCACAGCTCGAATTCCTCCGAGCCCCGCCAGTCGCCTTCTCCTCTGGACTTCAACAGTAGCCGTTTGGCTCAAATTTTAGCACAACCAGCCCACAAACTTGCCTTACCCGGCATGGGTCTGGTACCCATGGACCAATTAATGCAGTTTGGAGCTACGGATCTTCCAAGCCTCTCTCAACTTATTAGCAGTAGGATATCTAGCCTAAGTCCCAACTCAGATAAGAGGGCATGGAGCGAAGGAAGGGAGATTCAAAACAGTATGTCCGAAGATGACATGTCGAATGCCAGTAAGAGGAGTAAAATGTCACAATTCGTCCTGAAGAGCCTCGGCAGTCCAGTGTTGGGAAACCAAGAAGCTGAAGTTGAAGGCCAATTTACCTGTGATCAATGTGATAAATCCTTCTCGAAACAAAGTTCACTCGCTAGACATAAATACGAACATTCAGGTAATTTTTTTTTCATATTTTTAGTTTATTTCTAAATTCCAATGTTAAAAACAATCAACAAAACTCACTATTATTACTTCATTTTAAAGCTAGTTCAAATAAATTCAAAACTTTATCCTAAAAATCCTGTCAAATGAAGTCGAACAATATTCTTCGATACCAAAAAACTCGGTATGTAAAGGATATGTAATTAAGACAAGGTTCTTAACTGAAGGTATTGCGGGAAATAACTATACTCCGCAGTCAAAATTATAGAAAGTGACTCAGACATAATATAAAAACACTATTACCATAACGCGTATAAAATATAAAATGATTTTTATAGGGTTCAATATTATTTATCTTTGTGCCGCTCGCAACGCACATCGATAGAATCTATAATCGCCTATAGACTGAGTTATACTGAACGCCGATCTATATTCTATCTCTGTCTTCTGCACTTGGTAGGGAATAGGGAAATGCTTTTTTAGTTGGGTGTAAACGGACTTGATTTACCCGTCCTGAGAAACGTCATAGCATAAGCGTAGACGAGGGGTCTAATTCCATGGCTATAATAAATTTAAAAATTAAAAAAACACAACTGGAGCATTTTAAAATGCTGTAATAATTAAAATGGATCAAAGTGCCGGTTCTAGCAAACTGTAAAAAATATTAGATGTTATGTTTTATTATCTTTTTTCAATATTTTCTATATCTTGTTGCCTTTTACGCAGACACGCCAATGGATTTTCGTTCCCGGCATGCTTCATCCCCCTTACTAGTCCAACAGCTAGCGATGAGTCACTCTCTATAATTTCTACCGCGGAGTATAGTCTATGGGTTACATGTCCCAACTAACATTGAATTATACCACAATGGCGACTCGCCAGGTGACGCAAGCAATGCACCACTTCATCTAAAACCGTTTGTGCAATTTAAAATTATTTTTAACTTTGTATAAATTTTATAATTTAGGTATAATTCTATATTGAAAATGTATTGTGTTTGTTTATTTAATACGCAGAAATAAACAGAATAGTTATGCGGTGAACGCCTTCTAAAAAAGCATTGCCTTCGTTGAGCGCGAACATCAACCTCGTACCATACAACGTATAGTATAAGCAAGTGACGCAGATCAAAATCAATCTGTATTCCGCTTCTCTTCGTAGCGTTGTTTGAAGTAGCATTGTCAGACAATGTGTACATTGGAATGAATGGTTCTTTAACACCAAAAATTTAGAGCCAAGTACTCATCTAAGCTCCTTATCTGTATTTATATTATGTACTGTAACAAATTTATAATGTGTATATCTTGCGCTCCGTGTTTGCGAACAAGCTGCGCTCCATTTTGGCAATCCGAGCGTCTGTCGGTAAACACTGTGAACACAAAAAGGAGCAGAGCAATAGTGTGGACAGTTCGTAGTATGAGCACAAGTTAGTACAATGCCAGTGTATCAATCAGCGTTGCAGTATTTATTCTGTAAATTTTGGGTGCGATCATGGATTGGAGTGAAAAAAAGTGTTCAGATTCAATCGAAGAGTACAAAAATGCCCCAATTTTGTGGAATCTGGAAAATAAATACTTTTATAAAAAGCATTCACGAGAAGATACCTGGGTGGCTGTAAGTGATGTACTAGGTCCGCCTACAATGGCTGCAAAGTGTAAATTAATATGTTATATGTTCCTTGAGGGCTTGACAAACTTCTGGTATAATGTTTCCTATAGCTTGTTTGGAAATATGAAACAAGTATTGTAAACTTGTAAAAGTATCTCCACTTGCCAAATATCTCAAAGTCACAGCAAATCTGTCTTCACTGAAATAGCTTCCCTAAATTTAGTATCCCTTTTTTGAATTCTTAGTCGCACTAGATTGATTAAATATTCAAAATGCTTGTGAAATTTTTGTAATGGCAGCTGATTGATTGAAATTTCAAATTTTGGAAGTAAAGCAGTCATTTCCAAAATATTCGTGGACGTTTATATTATGTATAAGTATATATAAGCAGCACTTGCTATCATAATAGAATCGTCTAGAGACGACATAATTTTACGGTGAACATTCTTCAAATACTGTGGATAAAGATGATCGCAGTACGATACACGCCTCACATATACATTGTAAGCTGATACTGTATCTGAGCAATGCATGATACAAATACAGATATGGAGCACAGATGAGTACCTGGCTTAGGTATGAAAAGATATCTAACCTCAAGATTCTTTTATTATATCAGGTAATAATTAACGAATTACGAAATAAAAATTGATGGAATTTTTAGAATAATTTATGAATTTATTTGAGTTAGTTTAAAACTATTAAAGTTAAAATGGAGAGCCAATAATAAAATATATATTTAAAAAAAACTAATTTCCTATTATCAAACTTCATTATTTCGCATTCATTCACAAAATAATTACATAAACATTTTTTAAGGTGTTTTATTTTCACATAGCATATTTTTATAGGCTAATATTTTTGTTACAGGTCAACGTCCTCACAAATGTGATGAATGCCCCAAAGCTTTCAAACACAAACATCACCTTACTGAACACAAAAGACTTCATAGTGGAGAAAAACCATTTCAGTGCAGTAAATGTCTAAAGAGATTTTCTCATTCTGGTTCATACAGCCAACATATGAACCACCGGTATTCGTACTGTAAACCGTACAGAGAGTAAATAATGTAAAATTGGTGTGATGTACATAAGCCAAGTTAGTCATTGTACCTACTACTAACTAAAAATATGTCTTGCCAAAATAATATTAATATTACGTTTTGTACATATTGTTTTAAAAAACTTAAGAGAGATTATACAAATATTTATGACTTAAACCTAACAGTAATTTGAAAAAAATATATTTCTTTTTTTTTATAGTAATTCAAATGAAAGTGTTAACTTCTAGAAGGTGCATAGCCATAAATGTGCAATTAGTATGTGTCACAAAAATATTTTCTTAATCAGAGTGTTCGTGCACCTTTTGGAATGAACGGCATTACCCATTAACGTTTATTTTTATATGGTTTTTATGTAAATTTGGACATTCTGATAGAAAGACGTTTTATTAATGAATATTTGTATGAGAGTTAATTTAGTATAGCTTGTAAATAACTTGTCTGGTACCTGTATAAGAATACTCATAGTATACAGTCGAGCAGTGCCAGAAAATCAACCGTCTTCCACCACTTGTATCTGTAGTGGTGTAACAGCAGGCAATGGGGCACCAAGGCAATGGTCGAAAAAATTAATAGTCGTTACGTGCAATTGATGAATTTAAAACAATTTAAATGCCATAAGTTACCATTAAATTAGTCGGGTATATATTATAAAAAAAAGTTTATTGTGATTGGAAGATTTGAGATATTATTTTTTTATTATTACCAGTATGTAGATATGTAATATAATTCTTGCTTTATAAGTGCCATATACCAACGAAATTGTATAGCCCAAATGTAGCAAATTTGGTTTCGATACATCGATAATACCGTAGAATATAAGAAATTGGTAACCTGCCTATATAGTTTGTAAACAGTACAATAAGAGGCGAGCCGCAGCAGCCACTGCATTTAAGGTGTTACTTGACAATACGTAGTGCTGATAGTTTCAACAATACAATGAAAAATGGTGCAAGTCGTTACTCACTAACTTTTATAAGCATTTAATTAAAAGAAATTATATTTGTAAGTTAACGGTGATTTAGTTACCAATTTATTTACTGAGAATATATTTTAGAGTACTTTAAAAGCAAAACATAAATAAGCATCATTCCAAATTATGTACCTAAGATTATTTCCAGTGTGTGAGTTTATATTATAATATATGTAAGGTTTTTTGACAATAACGTAGTCATTTGATATAAAACTATTTACTTAGTACTGCTAATGTTAACTGATAAAAAAGTAGCATTTATTATATAGATATCTCAAGGTATGTGAGAACAAATTCGAATAATAAATATATATTATATATACAATTTATAATATTAATGCATATAAATTTTAATAATTACTTAAGATACTCTATGAATTTCTGTGTATAGGTATTCTGTAAATACTGAATGTTTATTCCTTCTTCTTGTCTAGACTTTCTATTTCCTTTCAGACACGTGTTATGTCTGACATATAAAGTTTATCTAGATTTAATCATCTATTATACAAATTAAATTCTCTTTATTTTTATATTCTATTTTCTGCCAAGATTTAGTCATTTCTTTGGTGCATATTTATTTTGCATCTTATTGTTGTGTGGATTTTTTTGTTAATATTGTATTTTTTACATTGGCTAGTTTTACCAAAGAATCTGTAATATATTTAGCCATAGAGTTTAAATTGAAATCCATTTTTGTTTATTATTTCTTTTATGTTTAAAAGTTTTTTATTGTATTTTTTATATATAGTTGGTCTTGTAAAAATGGTGATTATAAGGGATGTCTGTGTAAATTCTATTACGAAAAGTTGGAAAATGTATTTTATTCAACACAAATAAAATCTAAAAATTCTTTCATGTTTTTCTACCTACTTCCTTTTTCATGTTAAACTAATTCTGATTCTCGATAAAAAAAATATTTATTTCTAAATAACATATTATTTTTCGATAAGCCATCGCAGTTTGTCACTAATTTACATAATACACAATTGTAATACAAGTTTCAAAGTAGTAGGTAGGCTACTTCTTTCTCATTTTCCATAAAATTCATAATTAATAATTAATAAGTTAACGGAATAACTGATGTCCATAAGTACAATTACTCAAATTATTTAAAAAATATTTTTCTGTTGATTATACTCATGGTGTCCAGAGCTTTCAACAACCCTTAAATTGTTAAGCAAGGATCTTCATCATGGTAAGTTTAATATATTTTGAAAAATACAGGGTGGCTAAAAAATCGCATTACAAACCACCGCGGTCGAAATTATAGAGAGTGATTCAGACATAATATAACACTATTACCATAATGTGTATTAAATATAAAATGATTTTTATACGGTTCAATATTATTTATCTTTGTGCCGCTCGCTACGCACATCGATAGAATCTATAATCGTCTATAGACTGAGTTACACTGAACGTCGATCTATATTCTATCTCCGCCTTTTGCACTTGGTAGGGAATAGGGAAATGCTTTTTTAGTAAACGGACTTGATTTATCCCGTCCTGAGAAACGTCATAGCATAAGCGTAGACGAGGGGTCTAATTCCATGGCTATAATAAATTTATAAATTAAAAAAATACAACTGGGACGTTTTAAAATGCTGTAATAATTAAAATGGATCAAAATGCCGATTATAGCAGACCGTAAAAAATATTAGATGTTATGTTTTATTATCTTTTTTCGATATTTTCTATATCTTGTTGCCTTTTACGCAGACACGCCAATGGATTTTCGTTCCCGGCACGCTTCATCCCCCTTACTAGTACAAAAGCTAGCGATGAGTCACTCTCTATAATTTCGACCGCGGAGTTATAGTAACACGTTCAAATAAGGGATACAGGAACACTCTCTCTAATATATGGAGTTGGAGCCACTTCACAGATAAATTATATTTTTTTTATTTTACCACAGCTGTTAACAAAATTCATATTTCAAGACAAATAGAAGCTTCATTAGATACTTTTAGGCCTTAATTCAGAGCATTTATAATAATTCATAATATAGTTACTAGGTTTTGCCATAGTGTGGCATATTCGACTAATAAATTTTATACATGTTTCTAGATTGCACTTTTCTGGCAAATTTGAAGCTTTTCATCACAATTTGTTTATTTTCAACTTTTACCAAATTCTGCTTGAAAATTCGACAATTTTGGACAACATTAAAATAAAAAAGATTCTCTTTTTGGGTATAAATAAATGTACGAGGCACATCCACAAAGTAAGAGTACTCAATTTTTAAAAAATCGAAACGGCAGTATGCAGGGTGTCCGCAAATATCACCAACAACGTTTGACTGCATATTCAAGACCATAAATATCTACGAAAAAAAAGTTAAATAAAAACTCTGGTTTGTGAGTTACAGACCTTCAAAATTGTCAAAAATAAAACTAATTTAATTAATAACTTCATAACCTTCTTGCCGGTCGCGTTAAAATTTGGCACTATTATGGCGTATTATTTCTTAAAGCTTTAGTCAAATCGATATACTGGGTGATAGTTTTCTCCCTTTTAGTGGTCAAAACTTTTACAGTGGTCGTATTTTTTTAAAACTGGCAGCAACGTTGAAAAGGTTGTTTCATTTAAAAAAATTATTGCCCCTTGAGAAAATCGCCTACAGAAAGCCATTCTTGAGAAAAGTGGCATTATTTGCAGGTCTGTACGTTTCAGTTTGCATAGCAGTGTCACGGATTTAATACTATGAGTTCAGTAGGCTTTGAAAACAAGATGTCGGTTGCTGTGGCTACCAGGTAATGTCATTATTGTCGTGTTTCTTTAGGATTCTCATCACTCCACACACGCAGATTATGAAGTGTCTGCAAATTCAATTAAATGTAGGTAAAACTAATGTGCACAAAACTTTAAAAAGCAACTTCCTCGGAGATTTCATTTAACTCCTGCTCAAGAAACTTGAAAATTTAGATCCCAACACACGTTTACAATTCTGCCACTGGTTGGTGAATGGCTTCACAGAAGATAATAATTTGCTTAAAAAATAGTTTTATACCGATAAACCTTCTTTTACAAGGAACGGAGTTTTTTTTCTGGACCTCGTCAAAAATTTTCAAAAGTATCCAGACCACCTAAAATTACTTGCCGACCCCTGCTCTATAAGTTGTGTTTTTGGTTGCTCCGTTGGATTTAACTTTTGTGAATTTTCATTCATTTGAGGTGGAATGTAAAATTATAAAATTGACCATTTTCGACTTACTTCTTTTTGTTTTTATTCGAGACAGGGCTAAAACTGCTCAAACTGCTTGGGAAACTTGTGCCATATATGGTGATGATGTGATAAAGAAACAATAAACGACCTTTCGATGGTTTCCATGTTTTAAAGAAGGTAATTTCAACCTTATATAAAGACATGAATCATTCTGGATGCCTTGGTGAATTTGATACAGAGCAATTGAAAATTCCTTCACAAAATTCCAAGATAATCAACAAAGGAATTGGCTCAGGAGATGGGATGTGATCACAAAACAGTAGTAAACCATCTGCATTCGATGGAAAAAGACTAGGTGCTTAAGTCCCACATATTTTGAACCAAAACAATAAGAATTAACGCTCGGCAATTGCTCTGTCATCGATCAACACGTACTCATAAGGAACGTTTTCCTCATGGGGACGAAAAATGAAGAACACAGAACTCCAATAAGTACGGTGACTCCACGTGGCTATTCAACAAAAAAGGCCTGATCATCTATATGACGTTACAACATGACAATGCATGACCACATATCGCCAATATGACCATTCGGAAGTTAAATTGGGAAGTTCTGCCCCCCACCCGCTTTACTCTCCTGATTTTGTGCCTTCTGATTTTCACCTCTCTCACTCTTTGTCAAACTCCTTAAGTGATATATTCCTTTTAACAATGACAAAAGAGCTTAGTTGGATTAGTTTTTTGAGTCAAAACTGTAGGATTTCTACAGAAGAGGTATTAAAAAATTTGTTGAAATGTTGGGAGAGTTAAATAGCAATAATGGAAAATACATCACTGATTATTAGCCTATTGATAATTGTCGAGTTAAAAATAAAATATCTCAAAAGAATCTACTAAGTTCCCTTTACCTACTATAGGGTAATTAAATTACTTCACTACTATCTCAGAACAATAATTATTGTACCTAGTCAAAAGCCAAATACATTAAAATATGTAGTATCGATACCAGATCATTGGTTTAATAAACCACACTATTATGTTCCAGATAACTTTGTTTTATCCTTATCCCAGATCTAAAATTTGAAACATTTTCTATTGATAGATACTTATCTACTTGTTAAATGGCATTAATTTGAACTGTAAGCAGTACGATATTGCATATGCTTATGAAAGGTTGATGTGATAATATATTTCCGATTTATTCTCGAAAATTACTAAAAATGAAACAAGCAAATACAGTCTTACAATTAAAATCTATCTGAAACTTACTTACTTACTTACTTTTAAACAGGAAAATAAATCATTTAACTTATTGTACCCTTAACTATGTACATAAATTAAATAGATTAAATAAAAAGACAGTGATTAATTTCTTGTATTAGAGAGTAATACATATGTATAGTATGTTGCTTAAATTGTAATAGGAGGAGTGACTACTGACTGCAAGAGTTTAAAATTAAAAACAAGAATTACATTTAGAAATGATTATTTTAGGCTAGTTTACATACCTATCATCAACATCTATTAGTAGCATAATTTTACACCATTTCAGCTAAAACAACTAAAAAATGCTATAATTATTACACTATTATACACTATAAAAATATATACATTAATATTTTGCATTTTACATATCAAGTAAGCTTTCAAGTTTTAAATATCTCCAACATGCAACATAAAATTGAAAACTACGTACCAATACCAACATTGAAAAAAAAAATATGCAGGCTTCAATTTCTATGATCTATTATTTGAGATAATTATTTTAAGAAAAGTATACACTTCTTGAAAATTATTTTTAAAAGCTTAAAAATTGTTACCTTTCTCTTTAAATTAGTTATAAACTAATACCAATCAGTCAAAAATATTGAACGGCCTTTTCAATTCAATAAAAAAAACCGTTTTAAAGAAAATTTCAATTTTGACATTCATACGCTACTTCTTATGCATATTTATAAATTTTGACACGGCCCCATTCAATATTTTTTAAAAATGTAATTAAAATATACTTTTACACTATTAAGTGTGATGTAAGTTACATAATCATACTATTTTCAGATATATGCAACCCACAATGTCAAGAAGTGTATTGTATAGCCTAAAACTCGAATTGATTCTACGTTTTGTGGCGATCTTAACGATTGCTATCAGATCGTGATCGTATTGTTCAGATCACATAACTCTGATCTGAATCTTAGAAGTGTAAATTTATATCTACAGAATTACCAAGAATGGTATTCCGTGGTTTAGACTAGAGACCATAGATCTTGTAAACTAAAAACTAAAAACTGTGCTCTGTGCTAATAAGATCTATGCTAGGGAGCTAGAGACCTATCCAAAAATAAATTATATGCTTTGAGGTTAGGTTCAAACGATATTTTTAATATTGGTTTTATGGGATGTTAATGTTGTTACGTGCTGTTTATTAATTTAATAAAGAACGTGTTCTTTCCCACAATTAGATATATAAATATTTTATGGTGTCATAATACTATAAGGAAGCTTGTATACAAACTTGTTTATTATGGGAAGAAAAACAGCAGCTAGTTTAGCGAAGAGTAAAAGAAAACGCCTTCAACGGAAAGAAGAACAACATAAGCTTCTCCAAGCTAAGGCAGCTGTAGCACAAGCAAACTCTTTGGAGGATCCATTGGCCCCATTTCCAGTTTTTCGCAAATACAATAATAATGGCATTGAAGCCGAATTATTTATTAAACGTTCAATCAGTTTAGATGACTCCATTATTCAATGGGCATTCAATTTGACAAAAACAAATTTAAAACTTAAATATGAACAGAGCTCATTCGGATGGAGTGACGAAAAGAAAATGGAAGAATTATCTGACGAAAAGGCTTGGTACTTGATAGCGAAATCTGTAGATGGTACCTTGTTGGGATTTTCTCACTTTAGATTTGATATCGATGAAGGATATGAGGTTCTTTATTGTTATGAACTACAACTTGAAGCAGCTGTTCAGAGGAAAGGTTTGGGAAAATTTATGATGCAAATATTAGAATTAATTGCCTTTAAAAACAATATGAGGAAAGTAGTATTAACAGTTCTTAAGAATAATCCATGTTCAGTTTTTTTTAAAGTAATGAATTACGATTTAGACGAGTCCTCGCCACAAGACGGTGAAGAAGAATCTTATTCATACGAGATTTTAAGTAAAGTGAATAAAAGATTAGCTCATGCCACAGCATTGTCTGTAGATAATGGGAAAAAATTAAATGAACACTGTTGCTGTAATCATTTTGATCATGAACATTGATTATTTTAAATAAAATATTTGTTTATAACTAACATGCAAGTTTTTAATATAATTTTTTCTTATCGAAAATAAAGTTTGTATTTATTTAAACACTAAAATCCCGTCTTTAGTCAAACAGAAACGATTTTATGTATAAATAAATAGAAATATTGATTTGGAACTATAAAAATGTTCTGTACTTAAACAGTTAATTTTTTTTTAACGTGGGTAAATGTTAAAATGAATACTCCATATATTTAATAAATAACTTAATTTATTTTGAACAAAACATTTACATTTTTTATATAATAACATCAACAAATTTTACAATATAGATAAATGAATAGTTTTATAACATAAAGGTACATAGAAATAAAACAAAAAATTTAATAATAAAACATAATCTAGAAACGTAATTCGCTCCTAATAAATAGGTTCATTACGATTTATGACCTCAATCGTGCCATACCATTTCTATGAATAAATACTTTCCATAATATTACAATTAAAATTATAACTGACTAATTGGGAGCATTTATTTTAAAAGTATTTAAAAAAAAATATTCATGTCACATGTTGTAAAGGATCAGTTCATTACGTTCGTCTCTAGGTAAGTATGTTGCTCTCTTATATTATTTGGATAGTTCATACATAGTCTGTGGAACTTATGTTTTATTATTTATTTACAATCGTCAACATTGAATTTAAATGTTACTTTAGAGAAGAAATATTTATTATTAACACAGACTTAAGTCTAAAAAACTTCTTAATATGCTAGACATATGGTTCAGACCAATATTTTACAGAGCTAGTACTATGACGTTCGAATAAGTTATTAGCCTTAACTTTGGAACGAAGCTTCACATCTTTCGGTTTCAACATACTCTTGTGATTACTTAACAGTCTAGATGGCGTTAATATGGATTTTGAGCTCAATCCAGTGCACTCCAGGAAATGTTCATAAGTGGGTTCATTCTTGCCTCGAAATGAGGAACTATCTTTAATAACTTGTTCCTTTTGAATTTGATTCTTCTGTAATTCTAATTGCTTCTTCAATAACTCTATGGAGTTTCTGTTTAGAGTAGGGGTTAATACATCATTTGTGGCACGAATTAGTTCTACCCTCGTGGATGATTTACTATTTGTTGGAGAATTTAAGCTTTCTGCTCTCACTTTGTCTATATTTATCTCAGAATCTTCTTCGATTTCTTCTTCCACATTGTACTCTTCTATCTCACAGTCATCTAGCTTAAACTCTTCAAAATTTTGACTCAAATCAAAGTTATCAAAATTTGGAGTTTCGGAAGGTTTCTCTTTAATCGAGTTTGATTGTTTATCTAAGTTTTGTAGATCTTCAAAACTAGAAAACATATGTTTTTCAGGTTTGACCTTTTCAGGCTTCATTTTAATTTCAGATAATAGTTGGTGGTTATTAAATCCTGTAATAAGGCTTGATACTGAAGATCCAATCATAATCGGCCTGCGGCTTTGTTCATTACGAGTAGTTTTTAATTTAAAAATTTGAGAATTGTTTTTCACATAGTTATCTTGGCTTATTCGTTCCTCTTTTTCTTTCTCCTCATTTTCATCTGGAATTATTATTTCGGACACTTGGGGTAACTTTGGTATTTCAGGTTCATTCTTTTTTGGAGTCTGTAATTTTATTGCAACTTCAGATCTGATAGGGGTTTGTTTGGCAAGTTGGATGTTTAATTTTTCTACACATTTTTTAACCACCAAATTGTCATTATTAACAGAGACTGGGTCGTAATCACATGGACTACGATTAACTTTATTGTTGATATTGTTTCCTTTATCCACCCTGGGCAATTCATTTGGAGAGCATAATTTATTTAAAACATCTTGGGAAGTTGGAGAATTTATTTCAGCAACTACATTAATTTTCTTAAAGGAAATATTTCTGTTTTGTGGTAAGTTTAACTCCGATATCGAACAGTAATCAGGTTCACAGTCTAGTAAACTATCGTTGCTTTTTTCCGATGGAGTCTTTTTGCCAATATTTTGGATTTTGTATTTCGAAACAAGATTTGCAGGTTTCGGGGGCAATGCTGGAGGGGTGCGTAAGATTTTACTCTTCCTAATGATTTTTTCCTGTTCCCCAGTTTCTACTTTGGGCTCCATATCCATGTAATAATGAGGTTGTGCGATTATGTTTAACTTATTGGTAAATTCTTTGTCTTGTGCCGATTTTGTTAAAGGAGAATTAGAAAATGTTTCGCTGCACTTGCTTAAAATTTGCTCGTAATCATTGCTGTAAATACTTTGGGGTGTCTCATAAAAGTTCGGGGTTTTTTGTATTGGTGTTTCATAATAATCGTGAGTTGATGTACCTTTCTTCTCATTTAAATTTTCTTGAGTAAGTGTGGATTCTTTTACGTCTGGTATTTTATTTTCTTCTTCATCACTAAACTTTACACGTTTATTCTTGACAGATTTTCTTTCCATATTAGGTGTTTTAGGTGGCGAATTTAAAGGATCACTTATGTTTTGTAATAAGATTTGATTCATACATTCCAATACTGGATTATTCCTGTATATATCCCTGTGTTCTTCGTCTTCCTGGTCACTAGCACTCGCATACCAATTATCATTGGTTTCACCGTCAGCCTCAAACACGGGTATTGTTTCAGTGATTTTTGACAGTTTAGATGTACTTTGCTCAATGATGTCTTCACTAATTTCATTTGCTGTATCATTTTTAGTTTTAATTTTACTCAATATGATTTCATTGAAATTTACATCAGAACTTTTATCATTTTCAACCACTGTTGTTATGCTTTTATTGATAACAGTGTCGTTACACTCTGATATGGAAATGTTTGGGCTCGACTCCGCTTCATCAATAATTTCTTCATTCTTTTCAAAAATTAGTTCTATGTTCTCAGACACAAGACTTATTTTATCTGTTACGCTCTCAGATGGTAATGAGTCTAAGTTATCGTAGTCATTACTGGTATTATCTTCGTTCGATATGGGACTAGCATTATCATTTCGCAATTTTAAGACCTCAAAATAAGTTCCTATACTTTTCCGATGTGGGATCTTTCTAGATCTCCTTCCTAAGGAATCCTTGTTTCTATTCTTCTGGTAAATATTTTTCACAGATTCCGTTTCTGACTTAGAATTATCTTCGTTATTGTATGACTGATAAGTACCTTCAGACTTGTAGCCTTTTTCTGATATGGTAGCGTAGGTCTCACTACTACTATCTAATGATTCAAAATTGGATGATTGGTAATCTTGATAATCAGTGACTACGTACTCCGAACTGCTGTCTAAGCTTTCTTGAACTGGGCTTGAAACATAGTACTGGTTGCAGTTTTTGCAATACTGATTCGATAGCAGTTTCTTAATGTCGCTGCTTTGTTTCTTGATTATATAATCTTTTTCGTTAAGCTGATGGCTGATATACTTTTGTTCTTGCTTAAGTCTAGCCTCAAATATTAACAATGCCCTTAGGACTTTTGCCAACTGATCGTCTCTAAGAGCTTTTTCTGAGCGATACTGTACTTCTTTTTCTTGGAGTCGCCTGGTGTATTCTGCAACTAGTTGCCGACATCTCTTTGTCTGAAGTTTTAGAGCTTTCTGTACTATTTCTAGCTCGCCCCTAATGGAGGACATCTCCGACTCCGTATACGCCATCTAAAAAGAAGAAAAAGAAATAGAGAGATATTTTTATGCAAGGTGGGTCTTATTTAATGTCAATTGAAAGTAAATATGGTTTTTCATATGAACCATATATATTTATGTACAGGGTGTTTTGGAAAAATGTACCACAAATTTAAGTTGTGAGAGACACAGGAATTCAAAGAATTTTTTTGTAAATGAAATTTTAGCCATCTTCTCCAAAAAAACTGCATAATTTGTTGAAATTTGGTACAGATTAATTTTCAAGAGTATTAAATGCCTTAATGTTGTTAATTTTTGACCATCTGCTAGAGAACTTTTTGAGGTTAGATTTTTTTATGGTGTATTTTCATATTACAAGGTAAAATTTAATTCCATGTAAAAATTATACTTTTGTTGAAATTGCTGTGCCTATTTTTTTAGAAAAACGCAGGTGACTGATACCCCAAAGTACACCAGCTTCGATTCCTTGGTGTCCGGAAGTAAATAGTCCAGATTTCACAGATATTTTCCTTGCATGGAAAACTACAGGTTTAGATAGATTGCCTTACAATTTTACATATTCAAAAAGTTATTGGCATTCTAATTTTTTTTATTGAATTTTTAACTAATACTGACATAACTTTTTAAGGAAACAAGTCTGTAATAAGGTAACTTGATCTAAATCGGTTTATTTCAGTTTATTTCCATATATGAACACCATATGCGTAAAGTATAGTATACTTCTGGTCACCCTGTATATTACGGAATAGAAGCTGGTGGTTCAACTGAGTTTTTCTTGTAGCTCTTTCCAAAATACTTTATATAAAAAATATATAAAAAAATTTTCAAGTAATAGAAATTTATAAACTTAAAATTAGCGTGATGAGGTAAACTAGAGTATTTTTAAAATTCAGAATAATTTTAGTTTCTTTTTTTCCTGATGATGGCGTAAAGTCGAAACTAGATGAAAAAAAAAACAAAATAATTGTATTGAATTTTAAAATGGTCAGGAAGTTAAATGTAGTATTGTTTTTCAAAAAATTGATTCCAACAAGAAATTAGTTTCATGTTTGACCAAGCTTACCTCATACATTAATGCAAATTAAAAAAATCGAATTGAATTTGTGAAAATACTTTCACAAAATCTAATTACATTTCAAGTTGTTAAGTTTTTGATATTCATTTATTTTCCCATTCAATAATGTATTGCTTTTTGCAACGCCTTTAATTGAACTTTATTTTAATACATTTTGAATGGTTTCACTGATTTCTAATGTGTAATCAAATATTACAGTAGAGAATATCTTAATTTATTTTAATATATATGAACATAAATTGTATTTTGTCCGTATGGGACAAATGCTGCTTCATCATTCGTTTTAAATAATACATATTTTCATATTTGATTCTCATGCATGCATCAGTTACACATCAATGTCGACGATATGTAACTCATGAATCTTAAAAAATCCATAAAAAGTTTGCTCCAGGCAAAAGCCAGGAAACGTAAAACATCATTAAAACTTAAGACGACAGCTTTCCATCGAGATAAGTTGTGGCATTAATTATAAAGTAGGTAATTCAAAAATATCGAAAGTATTGTTGAACCGTTGATTGAGAAATACAGGGCCGGATTGGGCTTAAAATGTCGTTTACTTTGGAATATTATTTATTATTCCTATAGCATTTACATTTTTATAAAAATATTTGTTCAAATTAAATAATAAAGTTTACCGTTGCTCATTTTAAAATTTGTTATAAAAAAACATCCACACCTATTACCACTTAATATTAAAATAACTAATTTTGCCTTACAATTTGTATTTATCTATTTACTAAATTAATTCCTGTTGATTTGGTTTCTTCAATACTTAAAAAATGGATCTATAACTTCAATAGAAGTGGTGTCATACGATTTAATTAATGTTTCTCTAATAATTAAAAAAAATATATTAATTTCTTTATACTAGTTTTGTTCTTATTAAATTCTTATTGTTAAAAAAAAATAAAATATATATCTAGTGCATTTGTTTATTATTTGTCGGTTGCCTTGACCTTTTCTCTGTATAAGTATGTAGTATATTTCATATTTTTGACATATTTAAGAAGTAAATAAGGCGCGTCCGACTCTGTTACAGTCAGATCAGTGACCGCATTCCTTGTAGGTATACAAAGCGAGAAGTCATTTTACCGATCCCAAATTCTTTATAGCTCCCCACTGGCAATAACAAATTATAATATTCGATTCGATCTTGGGTAATTAAAAACGTAGTTTGTGTTCAAAATTCCAAATGGTAGGGTTTGGCGTCAACTGAAGAATGGTAATAATACAGCTCTTTCCAAACTATTGTAATTACGTATAACAAATATTTTCCCCATTTAATGTGTCAATATAGAATTCAGGTATATTCTTACAAACGATTCAGCCTTTCTGAGGTCACTCAAATATCCTTAAACCAAAATTCAGAGAATTAGAAAACTTTCTGCCAATACTTTTGTACTCCTGAACTGAAATTTAACAATGAAACATTTGTAACAATAAAACATATCGAACATAAAAGAGCATTTTCATCATTCAATTTTTTTTCCAGTTTAACACCCTTTATTTCAAGAATAATGGTTTCAATGTATATATTTATATAAAAATTACTCTTTCATACAAATTTGAACGAGGAAATCGCTCCTTTGTTTTTGACGCGATGTAATGTTACATCCTGTATATGTTCATTTTTAAAACAACTAACTACTGCTTACTGTTACTGCTACTGTATTAAATACATACTCGTACCTATTTACCAAATAAAATTGAAATTGGCAATGCAAAACATCTTTAGAGGAATGTCTGTAGGTATTTGTTTAATTTAATTATTTTTAATTACTTGTGCACTGCTGTGAATCAGTGAACAATATTAACTACTTTTTTCAATACTTGTGAATAAATTGATCTCGAGATTGATTTGCAATCGTCATACAAATTTTATTTTGTTAATAAGCGACATCAGCTATATGTAAGATATATTTTTATTAATACATACATCAATTTTATTAAAATAAAAATAGAAAGTGTACGTCATTTAAATACGAATTTGGTACGTAGGTATATCTCGTGGGCTCGTGGGCACCTGTTGGTCCCGAAATTCAGAGACCTTTCGTTCAATGTTGTCAGTTTGACAAAAAATACTCTAAAGAAAGGAGAAATTTAATTATTCGACGATGTATAATTATTTATTTGAAAATATCTCATTGTTATAAGATTACAAATTTTTCGTTTATGAGTAACAAGGATATGCATTTGTAATTTAATTGTTAAAGAATTTTATTTAATTTTAACATGGGTCTAGATCGTATATGATCGAAAGTTTGAAAATATCAGTGTCGTTTATATAGATGGAAACTTTTTTTAACCAAACTGTGACATAGCACTTTCACGACATATTCAATATAAATTATGAGATTTTATATGCTGCATGCTCTTTGTAGATACGTATGCCAATTAACACTTGATTGTTAATGGTAACTCAAATAAAATTGAACAACAAAACTTGCAGAAATCAGTTTAATATTGGCCTAAGTGGTATTGGTACATAGCAATATTAAGAAAATAAAATTAAAAAAAAAACAAATATTTGAATCTTAGTGTATAATTTAATATAGTTAGAATAAAACACCAAATATATGTGTAAAATACTAAAGCTATGTGTCTACCATCATTTGTAAATATAGTTAATACAGAGCCTTTCATAAATGTTTACAACTCATGTGACCGCTGAGCTTAGACAGTCCAACATTGCACGACTGAACAAGAAAATGGGCTGCGTGGGATCCACATTTTCATAGCCACCTTGATAAAAATTATGTCGAATTTTTTTTTGTCTCTTGGAAATAGTTGTAACATGGAATGAATTGAAAAATGTTGCTACAAGTCACAATTATTATCAAGCACGTCAAAGAAACCTGTGATGTTCACCTTCAAATACAAATAAATGTTTTAACCACTAAAAGTGACTACTTAAGATTAATTAATTTGTATGCATTATTAATAGGTCTGGTATAGACAAGGCGAAAACCTCGCATTCGAAGGAAAAATTTTCCGTCTCGATTTTTTTGCATATTCAGATTCGTGAGATGTTCCTTAACATGAATCAAGATGATGCCGGCCGGAAATCTGGTACCCATTTGTTTAATCAAACTTTTCTTAAACAAATTGTAAAAATAGTTTTTTTCACCCCTGAAATTTTTTTTTTTAGGTTTTTTGGCACATAAACCTAAAACAAGTTTTTCCGGAGTGAAAATTGTACAATTTGTTTAAAAAAAGTTTGTTTAAACAAATAGGCACCAGATTTCCGGCCAACATCATCTTGATTCATGTTAAGGAACATCTCACGAATCTGAATATGCAAAAAAATCGAGTCGGAAAATTTCTCCCACGAATGCGAGGTTTTCGCCATGTCTAGTATTACTTATATGTTAAATATGCATTACATATAAAGAAAAATATTATATTTTATTTTACTTTATATTTTTCTCCTTTTTAGATTTTAAATAGTCATCTTTAGTGTATCAGGGACATTATGATTTATATTTACATAAAAAAAACACTGCCGATAGATCATATCCAAGCTGCTACATCGCAAGAAGTAAAAAATAACTCTTAGTTAAAGGTTAAAAAATTAAATTTGCCGCAAATAACCGCAAAGCTATCTAAAGCCGTGACACCCTATTCGAAGTTCTTTAAAAACATGTTGTCATTTCCTGTGCAAAATGAAACAATGTGGCAACATGGCGGGCATGGTGTCTCGGTCAAGAAAGGCGCGCACGCTCCTATCTGATGGCATGGCTATTCGGCTCGCCAGAAATCTCAGGAATGCTGTTCTGCTTAATCAGTTATTAGGTTTTTTTGACGGTAGAGATCATCATTTTAACGACCGTACACCCTTTCACTTGGCGTACACACACAAAATTGTTGGGTGAATTAATGCCGACGGTATCCACCCAAAGAAAAAAAAAAGGGAACGGATGCCTTGGCATTGGCA